TATTTTACAGAAAACACCCAAATCCTATATTCTAGTTTTTAAATAGAGAAATATGGATTACATTATCTATTGTAACCCTACTGTGCAATGGAACCCTAGGACTTCTTACTCCAATCCAGCTATAACCTCCTTGCTGTCAATCAAACTTTCTCCATCTCTCCCTCCCATTTTTCCTCCACAGTCTCTAGCGACCACCATTGTATTTTTTTAAAAGACTTAATTATTTATTTGAAAGTCAGAGTTACACACAGAGAGAAGGAGAGGTAGAGGGAGAGAGAGAGAGAGAGAGAGAGGTCTTCCATCTGCTGGTTCATTCCCCAATTGGCCATAATGTCTGGAGCTGCATCGATCCAAAGCCAGGAGCCAGGAGCTTCCTCCAGGTCTTCCCACGTAGGTGCAGGGGCCCAAGGACTTGAGCCGTTTTCTACTGCTTTCCCGGGCCATAGCAGAGAGCTGGATCAGAAGTGGAGCAGCCGGGTCCCGAACTGGTGCCCATATGAGATGCCAGCACTTGCAGGGGGCGGCTTTACTGGCTACACCACAGTGCTGGCCCCTACCATTGTATTTTTCTTTTAAGAGATCACCTTGTTTTTTAGATTCCACGTATGAATGAGATCATGTGATACTTATCTTTGTATGCTTGGTTTATTTCACTTAACGTAATGAACTCCAGTTCCATCTATGCTATTGCAAATTAAAGAACTTAAAATATGTGAAGTAAAATTAAGATTCCATAGTTACATTCTGTGTAAAGGAATTGTGCAGTTAAAAAAAAATAGTGACCCCTTTTACCAGACCTCCCTCCCTCCCCTTCCCTTCCCTCCCTTCTTCTCCCATCTTCCCCTCTCCTTCCTTCTCCTCCCTGCTACTCCCCTATCTGCTCCCTTTAAACAAAACAGGTGTAAGGATCTAGGAATGGAGGAGTTGACTTTTAAAGAAACTGATGATTACATGAATGATTTAAACAAACAAGAGAATAATGACTTTTCTTTAGGATAGAAGCCTTCTTGGATCCAAACAGCATCCACCTTCCTTCTTGAGTTTATGAAACTGCCATCTTTTCTGATTTTGGAATATACCAGGAAATTGTGACTTATTTATAAAAGATCATGGCGATGCCGGGAAATGATTGCCATTTGTTATTACAAGAAATAATAGAATCATTGTATCCTGCAAAGCTCTTGTGTTACGTTCTAGGTCAGTCTTATTGGATTAGTAGGTCACTATATTCACTAGAGTCTGGGTGCAGCACAAGGTCATATTCACATTGAGCCCTCTGGCCCTATTGGTTCTGTCTTTGGAGGAACCACCATCTAGAAAGGAACTGTGAGAGAGACACTATTATCTAGCTCCTGTCTCTTGGGCTGATTTGCCAAAAGACTATGTATCCTGTGCACAGAGTCAAAATTCAGCAGTGAGCCGAGGATTCTCTTTACAAATGGGTCATGTAAGGAATAATAGGCAAGCTTTTGTCTCACATGACCTGGTACTTACTTTTCTTCTAAGGAAAAATATCTCAACGTAGTTGAAGACATTTTGAATGTGATATGGCACCCTTGTGTGTTCACTAGAATCCCTGTTAGTATTTTGTCTTTAGTTAGTTCTTATCAGTAAAAATGCACCAGTGTAAGTCAGATGTACCCCTCTGTGAATTTGGAAAGAGCTTGTCTCATTTCTTCTATTAGCAGAGGACTTGCATAGGTTTGGCCAGGTAAGAATTAGGTTTGAGGGCATGGGACTAAAACTGGAGCATAAATATTTCTTTTTGTTTGTAGAAATCTATCAGGAAGTTAAAGCAGATGATTTTACAGTTTTAGAGAATTATTCTCATGTTCATTCTCATTATTGTCAGAGCTAACAGTTACTGAGCACTTATACTGTATCACTACATGTGCTGAATATATGGTCATTTCTAATCCTCACAAGAACCCCATGAGGATATATGAAGAGGCTGCTACAGCCACTAGGGCTCTGGGTACAGTGCTTTGTACCTTTGTGCCTTTGGTCTCACTCTAGACAGAGCTGTATGACTGTGGGCCTTGGTGCAGTATACCAATAACATTAGGTTAGCTTTGTTTTTCGTCTTGTGGTTGTCTGTCATGTGATGCATATGCCTCTACAAGTGTTCAAACTGTGTGGTGGTGCCTGTAGGCATCTTATGAAGAATGGTCATCACAAAAAAAAAAAAAAAAGAAAGAAAAGGAAAATCTTGGAATATTATGGAGTTCATTTTATAAGTTAATCAGCTATTTATTACCATCAAGGTAAGGATTAAAGGTGACTCAAGTCCTGTTTCACTTTTCCTTCTGTTTTTTTTTTGAATGGTCTTATTCCCATGAATGTCTAAAAAGCTTCCATCTTGCTCTCTAAATGCAATCACACATTGATTCTCTTGAATGCTGATAAGACAAAACATCTTTTTCATTCCCTCTCCAACTTAAGCCTAAGCTAAGGCATAACTCAAATTAAAAAAGACCATTACTTTCACCTGAGACCTCCCCACAGAATTTCCCATACAAAACACACAGAGAATTAATTGTAAGACCTCTTATCCAGGAAAATCCTTTATGAATCTCTCTGGTAACACCAGTCCTGAAAACATGTGGTTAAGAGCTAAAGAATTTTGAGAGAGCTGTTTCTTTTCTGTTGGTGCTTGGAGAGAGTAGCGGGTCATGTTTCTGGAACCTTAAGAATGTGGTTATAAGTCTTCTTGCTTCCTTTATCTCAATTCTAGTGAGAGGGCTTCGCTGGAAGCAATTGGAGACTCGAAATATGCTCCTTATGGGAAACTCAGAGGATCTGAGAAAACTACAGTACTGTAGAAGCAATACAATGTTATCTGCATAAAGATCATCTTAGACTCTAAGGGTGATGGATCAAAGGATGCATGAGTATTTCTTTTGGATGAAGTGTGCACCACATAGAAGAAAGAACTGAGGTGTAGTTATTTTGAATTCTGTCCTAAAGATGCATATCAAGGAGGCAGAATGTTCCCAAGAACAAGAAATTAGATACGAACATGTCAAATCCTAGGAGACAGAGAAGTTGCGAATGATCACAAAGAGCAAATGATACATCTAAAGCAGATGAAGTTGGATGCAGGACTTAGAAGAAAGCTTAAAGATGTGAGAAATGGATTACAACATAGACTGATTATTAAGAGGAATCCATGTTTAGATGACAAGGCTTATTAGCATGATTGTTCATTCCATGTTATATTTTCAAAATCTGGCACAGAATCTAGCATAGAGTAGTTGTTCAATAAGTAATTGAACAAATGGATGACACTACAAGAGACTATGCTGGCTTAGTTTTTGAAAAATGTTTTAGATTCCTGGGCAGAGGAGAATGTGAAACTATAACAGTCTACCATTGAATGTTTATACAATGTTATTGCCATGTGTTCACATGATCTTGGTAAAAACACCTGTTAGAAAAAAACAGGAGGGGCTGGCGCTGTGGCATAGCGGGTAGTCACTGCCTGCAGTGCTGGCATCCCATATGGGTGCTAGTTAGAATCTTGGCTGCTCTACTTTCGATCCAGCTGTCTGCTATGACCTGGGAAAGCAGCAGAAGATGGCTGAAGTGCTTGGGGCCCTGCACCTGTGTGGAAGACCCAGAAGAAGCTTCTGGCTCCTGTCTTCAGATTGGCCCAGCTGCGGCTGTTGTGGTCATCTGGGGAGTGAACCAGAAGATGGAAGACCTCTTTTCTTTCTCTTCCTTTGCCTCTACCTCTCTGTAACTCTGCCTTTCAAATAAATAAATCTTTTAAAAAAATAGGAAGGTCTTCAGAGTACAAGTTTATGGAAAGGTGGTTAATTTTAAGAAAGCATAAAGCATAAAGCAAGTTTAATTCATGAATGGCAATTGAAAAAAAATTTTCTACCTTGCTAAAATCAATGTCTAAGCAACTTAATGTTCTCAATGGCTTCTAACTTACCAGAGATAAGATTGAAAATATTCTTATAAAAGCCCTGTAGTTCACTTAAGTACCTCTGCAAATATCCCCAGGTTCTATCTCTTCCTCTGTGTCCTGATCTCACTACACTGCCACAATTTCTTCCAGAGAGAATGCCTATGTGACTGTGTGTCTATTCAGAGTGAATGGCATCATGAGTTTGAAGTAAACACTTAGGTTATCATCTTGAAGCTTTCATGGATGTTTGCTTTCTGTTTTCTCTTGGCTTCATGTTCTGTTATCTCTGGGAAAAAGATGCCTTGATTTCCCCCTTAGCCCAATCCCTGTCTGGGATCCTTACTTCTCTGGGAAGGCAGCTTATATCTATTGAAAATGTGCCAGGCACTGTGCTTATCATAATCATGAAAATAACTGCTAATAACATCTGACAGTTACTTTGAAGGATTATGATTAGGATGTCACTTGCTGCACTTGGAGTTGAACCTGGAATGCACACAGAGAGGTAAGCAGACCAGGTATGGAGGGGAGAGTCACTCTCTGTGGAATGATTTTAGAAAGAGGATTCATGGGAGTAACATTCAGAGTATATTTTCTTGATGACATCAGGGCAGCATTATGAAAACCAAATATTGTACAATACAATTGGGATTTTTAAGATATAAAGGCATGTTTGTCTTCACACAAAATTATCCCAGTCTTACACATTTTTAGTTTTCATTACGACTTCTTGTAGGATTTTCCCCCTTGTCTGATTACTCACTGTCAGGTTTTTAACTATTGCTTACTTATCTCATTATGGTTGTCTCCCTGGAGCAACCTCATACTTCCTTTTGATTGATTTGTAGCTGGAAAAACAAATAGAAGGATTTCTATTGAAATTTGACACATATTTTGAGTTGTTAATAAAATGATTTTTAGTAGCTGATGAGATTTTTCTGCCACCCTCCTCATTGAGTGCTTTGGTTTTGTGATAGTGTTCTAGTTACTTAAACTTTCCCTCCCTATACTTTTTAATCTGGTTTCTCTGGATAATGAAATATTAGATATAAGAAAGAAATGTTTGGAACTATGACACACTTTAAACAAATGTGGATGGCATAATATAATAGTTTTTATTAGACAGACATGTAGATAAAAATTCAAAGAGAGTGGTACAGGTATCCAGTTGCTCTAAGCAAATCTGTCAATCATGTCATTTTCAAGTGCTCTTGTTAATTCAAGAACTTAAAGCCACACCAGGGGTTTGATAATGACGTATCCTTTCATTTCATAGTTCAGGGCCTGCCAGTCTAGGACATTAGGATTGAAGGCAGAACCCTGATATGTTAACAAGATGTCTTCTGGAGATAGCACAGAGTCCCACATGTACACATCCCCAATCTCTCCCACAAAGGACTGGCTCTTATCAAACCCACCCCCATAGGAATCCTGCTCCTGCCCTAGGACAATCTTGGGGTGAGCATCAACAGAGTAACCTTGCCTCAGACCCTTTTTCACCAAAGGTTTCCCATTGACCCAAAGTTCAGCAATGCCTGAAGAAGACTCCCAGCTGGTACAGATGTGCACTGGGGCTGGAAACTCTTCATTAACCTTGAATGTAGCTTTGCTATTTCCAATATACAGACTGTACTCTCCAGGTTTTCCTTTATAAAGGAGCAGCTCATTTTCCCTGTTTTTAGCATTACAGGAGAAGAGGCTGTAGCCACGGGTAATGTCACTATAGGCTCGAAGACACAAGGTGAAGCTCTGCAGGGGATTATCCAGCTCTTTGATGATATTCACATGATTAGTCGAAGATTCTCTAGGGAACACAAAGACTTTCCCCCTGAGGTCTGTGGAATCAAGAAAGAAAAATGACTTTCACCATAAACACAGAAAAATAGCCCAGAGTCAACCTGTTTTCTCATTTCATGTTTCTTGACCATCCCCTGACCTCCCTACCTGTCTGAGCCAAGGTTTCAGTGAGGCTGGTGAGGAGGAACACCCAAAGCAACAGCTTGTCCATGTTCTTGTCCTGGGCTGTTGCAGCAGCAGTGATGATCAGGATGAGGGTAGCTGACAGCATGGAGCTATGTCCACCCAGCTTCTCTAGTTATGTAGAGTTTCACTGTCTTAGAACTCAGGCTGTTCAGGGTTTATTTACACATTCCATGATGATGGGGTATGGAGAGCACCAATGACGTGTGAGTGATTTTCCAGAACTTTCTCCTGGTGCCAGCAATCAGAGGGGCACATGGGAAAAGAATGGTGAAGCCCTAGGCTAGGAAATCAATCAGAGTTATTTATTAGACACAAATGGCTGCCAGAGCTCCAACCCATGACCAAGATTTCATTGCTGAGAAGGGAGTGGTTGTGGAGTTGCAGGGTTGTGGGGTGCTGAAGGGCTGGTCCCACACGAGAGTTTCCCTCTGTTGCGCAGGGGCTTCTGTGTCTGAGGACCGTATGCTCTACCAGGAGTTCCCGAGCCATGTCAGTAGTGGAAATAAGGTCTTTTCTTCTTTTTATAGTTCTGTGAAGTAGTCTTCTGTTTGTAGGACAGTCTGGGTTTCTGCTTTCTGCTGAAGACCCTGAAACATTCCCTCATCTTTGATGAACTCAATAATGAGTAGTATGTAATGGCATTGTTATGGGGAATCAGGCAATTGGAGTATAGACTATCTCCCGCAAACTTACTATTTTTCTGCTACTACTAATTACCCCTCTTTCTTCTTTTTTATGTCATGGTACTTCCTTATCCTAGATTTCCCCATTTCTTATTATAACTTGTTTTTCTGGAGACCTACCAACTATGTGCAGAGATACCCCCATCTTTCCCAGTTTTGCTCTACTTTTCTTTGAGTCCTGGCTATTGAAGGTATATCTAATCCATCTTTAGTGATGACCTCATATATTACACTCACATTTTCTCACTAAATCCTAGCACTATGTTAGATTCTGAGGATGCAGTGGTTCTGCCTCTCATGTTACTCCAAGAAACTTCATCTCCTTTTTTTCTGCTACTACTTAAATTTTCACATTTAATTAGCTGCCACACTAACCTGCTCTGTCTTTAAGAAATCAAATTGAAAATTCTCTTTCAGGCCACATTACTTTGCTGCTGTCTGATCCTTAAATTCTATGAAATCTTCATTCTCAACAAATTGTCTAGTCTTTTGTTGTTCTCTCTTCTTTCAGCTCACCTTAGACTTTCTGATGAGTTTTTTCAATTTCATAATAACTGCCACCAAGAATTCACTTTCCCTACCATTGTTCAAATTATGCTTCTAATCTTCACCTCTGGGCAGTTTCCATGCTCTGTTCTTTTTTTGTTTTTCTAAGCTGGGTCCCAGGTTGTGAAACTTTATTTGGCTTGTTGCACAGGAAGAGTTAGCATTGGAGTTTGAGTTATAACCTATTGACACCTGACTTAATTATACCCCAGCCTGGAAGATGATAGTATTTTCAATTTTGCTCCAATGTGGTTACAAACTTTTACCCAAATACTGTTATCCGGTCAAACATAGCAAATTGTTGTTCTTAATACATTCCTGGCTTTCTTCTCTTGTTACTTCTATTTATTGTCTTAAATATATCTTATCATTGTGTTTCTTAAAATCCCATTTTTCATAATTAATCCAGAAAGCAATCTGTCTCATGAACACTCCTGAGATCTCAACTAGAGATTATTTTTCAGCTGTTTTGAGGTTCATATAGGAACAGGACATCAAAGAAGGAGGTATCTTTCTCTGAAGGGAGGAGAGAACTTCCACTTTGATTATGGCCTTGTCTAAATAAGATCAGAGTTTGTGAACTCAAGCAGCTTCCGCAGCCTTGGAAGGTCATGACAAGAGCCTCCGGTGATTACTTACATCATAAATAAGAGTGTCAATTGTTAAATCAACAATGGGAGTCACTGTGCACTTACTCTCCATGTAGGTAAACATTTCTTTGGTTATTAGTATAAAGTGACTTGTTTAATTGGAATTACATCAAATTGAGAAATTTCTGTATTGCAAAAGAAAAAATCAGGAAAGTGAAGAGTCAACCAACAGAATGGGAAAAATATTTGCAAACTATGCAACCGATAAAGGATTAATAACCAGAATCTACAAAGAGATCAAGAAACTCCACAACAACAAAACATACAACCCACTTAAGAGTTGACCAAGGACCTCAATAGATCTTTTTCACAAGAAGAAATCCAAATGGCCAACAGACACATGAAAAAATGTTCAGGATCACTAGCAATCTGGGAAATGCAAATCAAAACCACAATGAGGTTTCACCTCACCCTGGTTAGAATGGTTCATACACAGAAATCTACCAACAACAGATGCTGGAGAGGATGTGAGCAAAAAGGGACACTAACCCACTGTTGGTGGGAATGCAAACTGGTTAAGCCACTATGGAAGTCAGTCTGAAGATGCCTCAGAAACTGAATATAACATTACCATACAACCTAGCCATCCCACTCCTTGGAATTTACCCAAAGGAAATTAAATTAGAAAATAAAAGAGCTGTCTACACCTTAATTTTTTTGCAGCTCAATTCACAATAGCTAAGACTTAGAATCAACCAAAACACCCATCAACAGTAGACTGGATAAAGAAATTATGGGATATGTACTCTATAGAATACTATACAGCAGTCAAAAACAATGAAATCCGGTCATTTGCAACAAAATGGAGGTATCTGGAAAACATTATGCTGAGTGACATAAGCCAGTCCCAAAGGAACAAATATCGTGTATTCTCCCTGATCAGTGACAACCAACCGAGCACAAAAAAGGAAACCTGTTGAAATGAAATGGACATTATGAGAAGCAATGACTTGATCAGCCTTTTTCCTGACTGTCGAGGAACAACTTAATACTTTATCTCTTGTAGTATTTTTTTTTGTTCTACTTAATACTATTGGCTAAACTCTTTAATTAACACACAATTATTCTTAGGTGTTTAAATTTAACTGAAAAGTGACCCCCATTAAATATAAGAGTGGGAATAAGAGAGGGAGGAGATTACAGTTTGGCACATGCTCAATTGGACTTGCCCCAAATGGTAGAGTTAGAAACGTGCCAGGGGTTTCCAATTCAATCTCATCAAAATGGCATGTACCAATGCCATCTCACTAGTCCAAGTGGTCAGTTTGAGTTCACAATTGATCATACTGATAGGTCTAAGAGTCAAAGGGATCACACAAACAAGACTAGTGTCTGCTAATACTAACTGATAGAATTAAAAAGGAGAGAACGATCCAACATGGGAAGCGGGATACACAGCAGACTAATAGAATGGCAGATGTCCTAAACAGCACTCTGGCCTCAGAATCAGTCCTTAAAGCTAAAAAGACCTTAAGGCTAAAAAGCCCATGAAAGTATTTCAGGCATGGAAAGCCAAGACACTGTGGGAAAAAAAAAAAAAAAACCTAAATGAAAGATCTCTGTGAATGAGATCCCAGCAGAAAGAATGGGCCATCAAAGAAGGAGGTACCTTTCTCCGAAGGGAGGAGAGAACTTCCACTTTGACTATGACCTTGTCTAAATAAGATCATAGTTGGCGAACTCAAAAGGATTCCATAGCCTTGGCAACTCATGACAAGAGCCTCGGGTAATTACTGATGCCATAAACAAGAGTGTCACTTGTTAAATCAACAATAGGAGTCACTGTGCATTTACTCCCCGTGTAGGAGCTCTGACCTTAATGTATTCTACTATGTGAATTAACGGTATAACTAGTACTCAAACAGAACTTTACATTTTGTGTTTCTGTGTGGGTGCAAACTGTTGAAATCTTTACTTAGTATATACTAAAATGATCTTCTGTATATAAAGGCAATTGAAAATGAATCTTGATGAAGAATAAGATGGGAGAGGGAGTGGGAGATGCAATGGTTGCAGGTGCGAGGAAGGTTATAAGGGAAAAAGCTGCTATAATCCAAAAGTTGTACTTTCAAAATTTATATTTATTAAATAAAAGTTTTAAAAAAAGAATTTGGAGTAGAATTTCATTTCTGTTATTTACTAGTGGTTGACTATTGTGAAAATCAGTAAGTTCTCTGAAAATTAGTTTACTTTTCTGTGAAACAGAGAGAACTATCCATCCAATAGTGATTTTTTTGAGGAAAAAATGAGAAAGTATATGTTCTATGCACTTTATGCATTTTAAGGCCTTTATTACTGTTTTTATGAGCTTTCTCAGACTAAACATAATTTAATGTGTAACTCTTTCCCCTCTAGATTGAATCTGGGTATTAGATCTTACTCATATTTACGTCATCCATTTTGTTTATTAACTTTTCTTGTACATGAAAAGAATCTGATATATATTTGTGGAATCAAAGGATCCAAACAGGGTGAGAACTGTTCACATGAAAACTTTTAGTAGCAATGCACATAAAGTAAAATTGAGTGATATAAGCAGGTTGTTCTGTAAGTAGGACCTAGGAAGAATATCCTTGATTGAAAACCTAGGGAATATGCAATTCATCCCCAGGATGCTAATTACTGAGTGGCATAAAATTCAGAGAACACAGAGTTCACCAGCTGCTCTTAGTTTTCATCATAAATTAATAAATTATTATTCTGTTAACAAAATGATTTGATGATCAGTGTCTAAAAGAGCTTTCAGGGGCTGACACCGTGGCTCACTTGGTTAATCCTCCGCCTGTGGTGCCAGCATCCCATATGGGTGCTGGGTTCCAGTCCCTGTTGCCTCTCTTCCAGTCCAGCTCTCTGCTGTGGCCCTGGAGTGTAGTGGAGGATGACCCAACTGCTTGGGCCCTGCACCTGCATGGAGAGAAGGAGGAAGCACCTGGCTCCTGGCTTCGGATCAGTGCAGCACCGGCCGCAGCGGCCATTTGGGGGTGAACCAACGGAAGGAAGACCTTTCTCTCTGTCTCTCTCACTGTCTAACTCTGCCTGTCAAATTAAAAAAATAAAAAAATAAATAAAAAGAAAGAAAAGAGCTTTAATTAATGGGAGATGAGTATATGGGGCTAGTCTGAGGGATGAGTGAGCCTGGAGAGATTGGAAGTAAGGGGGTTTATACTGCAAAGGGGTGAGTAAAGGGCCAGAAATTACATAAGGCATGAAACTGTTATGCTACGACAAGTAAAAAATAAAACTTGGTTGGAAAGTAGGATTCATAGTGGAATGGGAAGAAGAGAGGAGATGTAGGATCATATTCTTTAAAATTTCCTTCTCTGAAATATGTTTCTTGGGCCTTAGAAGAGGACATTTTCAGCTTCA